TCAAGCTTGTTCACCGAGGGCAATACAAGCCTAGAGATAATAGGGGAGTCAGTACACCATACTAAGTACTCCAAAGAAAAGCGAAGATAAGGGAGACAGCTCACAATGAGGGAAGACCGGAGGATCTTGGACTCGAGGGCTTCGTCCTCAAATTTCCGAGGGCGGCCCTGTCGAAAGAGGGGGTAGCACCCCGGAGGAACTCCATCGGATGTATGGTTCCCCTCAGAAGGGAAGAAGGTATGTCCTCCCGGGGTAAGCCCCCCTCGCCCCTCTGTGCCGAAGGAGGACCAGAGGCAGTGGTCTCCGCCACAACGTGAAGCCCGGAGGCAGAGTCCTCCCCCACGACCACAACCAGAGGGGTTTTCTTCTCAGCATCCCCTCTCTGGGGTTTCTTCCCTTCAGGACCCGGGCCTTTGCCTACTGGCTTCCTCTTGGCATCAGCATCAGCAGGGGTAGTAGCCGAAGGTTCCCCAACTTTCTTGGGGAATGCGTCGAGGGGTTTCTGGACGCCCCCGTTCTTCTTCTTGGGCTCCTTCGTCGACATTTTCATGAAGCCCGCGAAGTTTTTCAAGTCCATTTCAGCAGCTGCAAAAAAAAGGGCAAACAAATGAGACCGGAGGGTCAAAGAAAAAAAGAAAATTAATGTACGCCCAAAATCCTAAGTACAAAAAGGCAGTGCCTTCGGAGACCTACCTCCTACAAAATGTTCGAGGACAGGGTACTTAGCGTCTGTCTCCCCTAAGAAAAACGAAAACGGCGGAAGCCCAGTCCATACAAGTCATCGTCGAGGGTCAGCTGCTTGACCATCATGTGCTTTTTGCGCCCCTCGGGGATAGAGGAGATGATCCTCTCAGCCTTATCGAGGGCAGCACTCCCCACCTTTGGGTGGCGCCTGAAACGATCCCGCAGCTCCCTCGGGAATGGATTACCTGGCATCTTCACGTAACAGAACCAGTCCCTCCAGCCCTTGTGGGACGAGGGGACGTCGTCAAAGAGCCTCCACGGGGCAATCTGTTGAAGGTTCGCATAGCCTTCGTAGTTAGCATGCCCCCCCGGCATAGGTTGAAGCTCTGGAAAAAAAGGTCCAGAGTGGGGGCCACCCCCCTGGATTCACAGAGACGCAAGAAGGCCACAACATAGGAGTGACTGTTTGGGGTAAGTTGGCAGGGGGCTAGACCAACGTACCTAAGATACTCCAGGAGGAAGGGGTGCAACGGGAACCGGAGGCCCATTGAGACGGAGAGGATGTGGACTGCGAAACACCCCTCGGGAGACTAGGAGAGTAAGTCATTCGGGCCCGGCTCAACCACGTCCGCTGAGGGCCCCACGTGCAACTGCGTCACGTAGCAATCAGCCCGATCAGCCCTCGAATTTATCGCGAGGGCAGCAGTATTCAACCAAGAATACCCCTCGGGAATCCCGACCGGTTTCCCTTGGTCAGCAACACCTTTCTTCTTGGAAGTTCCCGTTTTCTTCGTCTTCTTCGCCCCGGGGGCTACCCTGAGGGGCGTGGGGTTCAGGGACCGGGAGGTGCTGGCCTCACCCGCATTTCGGGGGGGGGGGGGGGGGGAAGGGCGGCAACAGTAACCCTCGACCTCTCCTTTTGCTCCTCCTACTCAGCGACTTGAACGGCGAGGGCCATCTCCTCGTCTTCGATCACCGACTCGAAGTCCTCAGCTTCGACTTCAGCCACAAGGTCCTTCTGTACCTCTATGGCCATTGCGGCATCATTCCCGGCCGAGGGTTGCTCACTCGTGAACTCCACGTCTGAGAAGCTTTCCTCCTCCATCGAAGGCTCCCTCGAGATGTCTTGGAAATCGCTTTGTGAAGACATTTTTTATACTAAACCGAGGGTTCAGAGGGAGATGCTAAAGGCTACAAACACTAATCTAAGGCCGGGAAGCGAAGTATGCAAGAATTGCCAAGAACGGAGCAAGAACTGACCTTTTAAGAAATGGTTTTGACCGAAGGTTGGAGTTTCTCTCTCTAGAAAATTCGGCAGAGCTCCGCTAACAACAATGATCGCACAAGGAAGTGGTCCTTTGGCCTTGGGTATTTATAGGCACCGCAAATCTGGGCTTGGGCCGGAAACCGGGCCTCCGATTACAAAACCATCATTACAAACCGTCGAGTTGTCCAATCGGTGATGCCCGCCCACAGGCAGCCAACAAACGCACGCCACGTGGAGGCCCCCCTCCAACGGCTATATCTCCGACGTTACATCTTCCAACGGCTCTATTACAATGGCTATATTCTGGGAACCCAGGCGACCTCCTTCACTCCACTTCATCAAGAGGAGCCCCCCGGGTACACTTACCCGGAAGTGCTCCCGGTCGATGCCCCTCATAATACATCACAAGTGCCTTCGGGCTCACTCCTTCAGAAGCCCACGGCTTCACAACGGGCATACCCCTCGGGAACACTCAGCCCTCAAACACATTGAGGACCACGTAACCCCCGGGGAGCACACCTTCATCAACAGTTACGACCGGCTACGCAACAAGGAAACCCCCCGGGGTGCCACGGTCCTCAACTTATCATCTACATTCGTCGCACCCTCATTCTCATGAATTGAGGGCTCTCCTTCGGCGTCTCCCAGGATAACAACAGCGAGCCTTCGGCAAATCAACACACGCGCCCTCAGACAAGGATGGCCTTCGGCAAGAATACTGCCACTCATTTCAGACCAGGGTTTCACCTTTTTCGACTCATCATTGGGGGAATTCAGTGCACTCTTTTTCCCTCATTGGAATTTTTTACCACAGGGTTTTTTCCAATGAGGTTTTTAACGAGGCATCCACCCAAAATGAAATGAAAAGCGTCACCCCTCGACTTCATATTGCAGGCAGGCACTACTCTACTCCTTTTCACCACTTTGCAAGTGCCTCAAGGAATGAGGGACTGGAGAACCCCTTCGGGAAAAATCTCAAAATACAAAAAATATCAAAAACTCCCACAACGACAAACATGATCCCTCAAGTCCCGGAATGTGGGTAACTGAGGGACTGCCCTCGGCTGAAACATGCACATAACGAACTACTCACAAACTTTACAAACTACAACGGAACAACGGCAGAGGACAAACACAATTACTCCTTTTTCCCTCAAGTACCTTTCGGCAAAAGGGGTGAGGGTCTTGTGATGGAGTATATGGCCCAGGGACCCCCGGCCCATAGACTCCTACTACTCTAATCAAGGCCCAATAGGCCCAGGAAACACAACAGGGCCAAATCACAGCACCCCAAGTACCAAGCAACCAACAATGCACACAGGGGGTGCCTTCTGCCCCTTGGCCGAAGGCTCCAGATACTCACAGAACGGTTTTTCAGGCATACGAGGACACTGGGAGAAGACAGTAAAAACAGCAGCCCTCGGCACCTAGAGCCCTCGGCATCTAGGGTGCCCCCGGAAGGAAGAGCTTTCGGTCAATCATCTAAGGCCGAAGGCTTCTCCTCGACAGAATCTCCCACCCAAATGCGCTGGATCAACGTACCAAGTACAGACGTCACATCCAACCACCACATTTAATGCGGCCACATGCGAGTGCCAGTGCCACCCCGTTGAGGTGACCCCTCGACCACCAGAATGATGACGCGTGTCCCTATCTGGCATTTATTACTACTATAAATAGCGCCCCTTTTCCCTCATTCGTGATCCAAGCTAAAATCGTTCACTACATTCTCAGCAATATACTCTCTCTCTTACTTTTGCTCTGACTTCTCTCTAGTTACTCCCCGCAGTAACCCCTCCCCGCAGTAACCCTTCGGATACATACCCCGGGTAGACTATCCATCAAGAAATAACTTCTTATTAAAATATATAATTAGTCAAAGTTAAACATGGTTGACCAGAAAATTCAAAGATGACCAAATTTTAAGGGACGGGGGGGTATGACTTTTGTATTTTTATTTTAGTTTTTATAAAAAATATATCAAAATTCATAATTTTTATTATCTTTCATATGACATCAATATTGCTTATATAAAGTTTTTTAAAAATATAAACTTTCATCTGTTTGAGGGTTTTATGCTTAAAATCTTTGATCCAAATGCTAAAATTAAGACCCAATGATTAAAACAAAATTTACAATTTTTTTCAATTGTTTTTTTAAAATAGGTCTGAAGTAACAATAAAAAAATTAAACTCCAAATTTAATTATTTTCACATCGGAATATTTAATTTTTTGAATCCTAATCATTAGCCAAAAAAGAATGAAAAAGAATTAATGTATACTAATAAAATTAAGGATTTAAGTAAATAAAATTTGATCGAGTGAATATATTGACAGTTTTGGGTTGCAGGAAAAACCTGAATTGACCGAATGAACACGTATAAGTTAATGGGGAATTTGATTTATTGACGGAGAAGGTTGCGGTTAGCCTTATGATTGATACACTGTGATATTAGGATGGTGACATTATCATAACAATCCTTCTTTGTTTAGCTTCTATTTCTTGACATTCTCATTATTATCTTGTGTATCAATATTATAGAATCTTCTTGTTCAACATTATTCTCGTAAAATTACAATTAAAAAAATTAAAATATAATGTTTAAATCTTGCATATTGAGAGCATCCCGGTACCCACCTCTTGATCCGGTCGGTACTAGTCCAGGATTTGTTGGTCGGTTTGTGATCTTGCGTAAATAATTAGCCAAATCTGCAATAGATCTATGCGTACTTGTGACGAGTAGAAGACAATAGAAAAGTCCACAGAAATCTTTGATGGGGAGAAGAGACAATTGCAAAGAATTAATGTACTCCTATTAAAATTAGTTAAAAGTCCACGGGAATCCATGATTTTAGAAGTTAATAAGAATGAACGAAAGTTTGAATACAACTAGACTTTTATACATTTTAAAAGTTTATATTGAATACATCTAGATTTTTGTAGACTTTTAAATGTCAACTATGCATACACTTAAACTTTTAAAACCATAAACTTTTAAAATTTTATGGGTAATTTCTTATACAATACAGCCCCTTAAGTCTTAGACTTGGTTTGATCTATTTAAATGTAGGCTATTGTGTTTTGGATTGGTTGGGAAGTGGGAACTGAAAATCAGTCAAGTAAACCTAACTCAGCCTTAACTTATGATCTACCCCGAATTCCGTCTTCTTAAATCTTCCCCACACTACAAATCAACCGTATAAACTTCTCATACAGACCTTCAATAGGCAAACAATGTCAGGAAAAGAAGTTCGAGAGTACACTAATCTCCCCGACCCTAAAGGTTTGGTTCACATCCGCACATTCCTTTTTCAGATTCGTTCTGTCTACCCATCAATTTTGCCAAGTGTTGGGGTTTATTATTTCTTTATCTTGAATTCGTTGATGATAAATGGATATTCGCGTTCCTATCACAGTCTAAAATTTCTTTATTTTAAAAAAATTGTATTTTCAGACAAGAAGTGGGGGAAAAACAAGGACAAAATAGATGACGAGGAAATTACTTTCCAGCGCATGGTTGCCAAGGTTAGCAAATCTGGCTTCTCCTCCCCTCCGGATTTAAACTAAAAAATTAATTTGGTTCTGTTAGTTTTACCTGGTTTGTATTTCAAAAAAAAAAAAAAGAATCCATGATTTGATTTGGTTACATGATGGATGATTAAGGGGTTAGGGGTTTACTGTTCTTTCAGTTTCAGCAGCATTCTTTTATTATTTCTTTGAAAAATAACTATAATGCATAGTTTGAGGTTATGAACAAGTTGCCCGTTTGCTGAGTTACTAAAAATTACTGTAAATTAGGACCCTGGAAGTTGGGAATGTTACCTTTATTGGGACAGTCTGAATGACTTACACACAGAAAATACTTTATTTTTTAGTGTGGAAGGGATGTACTCTGCATTTATTTCCCATTATGGTACTGTCTATGAAATGAAGGGCTTTTAAGCTTATTTAATTTAATAACAACAACAACAATAATAATGCAAAGGTAATATTTTGTGATAAGGTTGTTAAAATCCATCAGTATTTCTAAATAGATAATATACAACCAGGTTCCTTAGCAAAAGATTAGCATTGCAATGTTGTTTTATTAAATAGGATATAATATCAAGGCCCACTGCCAAGAATCAAATTTGCAGCCATTTGAAGTTGCAGTTTATCTGTTTGAGAAAGGTATCAATAGAACAGTTCTGTTAGTGGATGTACTAAGATTATATGAAGTGATTTCAGGTGAAAGTTGTCCTGTGTGGTATGTCTTGATAGTCAGTTAGTGATAAAACTCAGAATCAAATCAATTGTGGAACATTGGGACTGAAATAAGAACATCGTTTTTAAATACTTTTGCTCTGAAATGCATAATTTGTCAGTGTTATATTTTTCAAAACATGGCTACTCAAACCCACTCTTATGGATATTTTCTTCTCCCAAAAAATAACATTTGGGTGAATTGAAACATTGTTCTTGAGGTTCTTTTTTGGCTAGAGAACTTGGACCTTTCGATTGGAGCACTCTTCCATGGGAGCTTAGATAGGGCTACATCCCTCTTTAGAAATTGTGGGAGGAACTGGGGGTGCTTCTGAGCTTTTTTCCAAGCTTTGTGATATGGACTCTAACAAAAGCTGAACAGGTCTCCTGCTAAGTTCATATCTTTTTGGTAGCGATATACTCTTTTGCGTGGAGTTCCATTCCAAGTTCAAAAATCTTTATACAAGCAATAACAGTTGGGATTTGCAGCCAACCTGTCCTGGCATTGACTTCTCATTGCAGTTAGAGCAAAGACATTGCACTCTCTCTCTCTCTCTCTCTCTCTCTCTTCTCATTCAAAGAGAGTCTTCAACTGCCTCCCTAGCTAGCACCCATTCCCTTATTCACCATCCATACTAATCTTTGATGCTAGTCGGGTTGATTCTCCCAAATTTAGATTCGATTATTTTTCATGTTTACTTTGGACAAAGACTTGGTCGGAAGCATTCTAGCTGCCTGCTCTTATAAGACCTATATTTTGCCCATTATTTTCCAAACAGAAGAGTCATTTGACTGTTACCCGAGCAAACACCCATCCCCCTGTCCACTATCCATAGTCCATACTAATCTTTGAAGCTAGTTTGGTCGACTCTCCATTTCTTCCAAATTCTAGGCTTGTTCATCTTTCATGTTTTCCGACCTAATTGTCTTTCACAAATACTTGGCAGAGAACATCCTAGCTGCCTGCTCTTATTCAACTTATTTACACCCATTATATGTCTTAGAAGGGTCTCTTGGGTCCAAGGTATAAAAAGGCTAGTTAGGGAATCACGACGCTTTGTTTAGGAGAAGCGAAGCATAAGCCATGAAGTGCTTTGAGGCATAACCCTCAAAAGATAACCCAAAAAATATCATTCAAATTTTTATTCGCTCAACTACTAAGTTCCAACTAGTGATATAGATATAGCTCAAGAATGTCCGAAAGTGTCAACTTTTGGACATAATTCAAGTCATTTTGGATGACATAATTCATACGCATGGCATAATTCAAGACTTTACAAAAACTGCCAACTTTACCCCAAAAAAAGTTTACAATCCAGGAAAAGAATTTAACAAACAATCGCAAAAGTGATACAATATAGAAATCTAGAAGTTTAGTCCAAACCATCATGACTTGAAGGGTCTTAATAGCCCTGTCGTATCACTTCCATCACCACTGTCAAAATCTCCCCGTTCTTCTTCTTCATCATCTACCTGACTACCACAGCTAACATTGTTTTCTTATCTGTCCATTGTGTACTGATCTTTTTGAATTTTATATTTTCATTTTTTCCCCTTATTCTTTACTAGGTTTGCAAGTATGTAGGACACATTTATTGGATTGAATCTTATTACTTATATAATTGTAGTCTCAGTGTCTCACAACCCAAATTGCTTGACCTCCTTTAAAAAAGCCCCAAAGGTGCAGAAAAGGCGTACACTTGACTGTTGAGGACGTAAACCTTTTTTTGCAAGTGCTGCGGGCCTAAACCTCTATAACAGTATGGAATGCTGTACATTGAGATGAACTTCACAATGCACCTCTTTACCACATTTTTAAAACTACACTTGGGGTACCCACACACTAGGTCATAAGGCATTCAAATTCTCCATGGAAGTGATACAAGAATTAGTGTTTGTTAGAATCTTCATTGAACCCAACTCCTATTTTAATCCAAACAGAACCCAAAATCTCTTCTTTGAACAGGTCACGTTATCTCTATGCTCCTTGACAGTATGTCCGAAGTAGCTATTTCCACCACTGATTTTCCTTGACATCAAACTAATAGTCCGGAAACATTACTTTTTGTTAAACATACATTCCTGGATGATTTTTCCATCATTTGCAATGGAGCCAAAGATTCATTATTTTTTGCCTTGAGATTATGATGGAATAAAGCAAAATGGCTCACTAAACTGTCTGCGCTTCTTTGTTATGGAGCAGCAGTCAGTCCATGCAATCTTGGACGCGATTTTCACTATGGGTCATCCGGAAACAGTCTCTCTATGCTTTAGTACAGGGGTAAGACTGCGTACATCCGACCCCCCCTTACCTCACCGTAGGTGGGAGCCTTTGCGGCACTGGGGTAAATGAAAATGAAATGATGATGAGACATTCCTGGAAGGCTGGAACCCAAATAATTGGATTGCCTGATGGGACCAGTCAGTAGGGCAGCATCTGCTCGTCTGACTGGGTCACCACTGGTGTATTTTGGAAACTTGATCCTGAGACCTGAGGCATGACAGTAGTCCTTCCTGGAATTCATGTACTTCTCGTTCACTGTCCGCGAGATTCATGTTTCTGACTGTTTGAACTTAAGCCAGTTATCTGGTCTTGCCTACTTCAACGTTATTGACATTAACTTGAATGTCAATAACACTTCTAGAACTTCCAAGCCACTAAGGGCTGCTAATTCAGAAAACTAGGTAAAATGATATCTGGGGAATTAGTACTATATGTTATTTTTTGAAAGAAGGATGGCATATCATTTAATGATTAGTGAGTGAAAGAATGAGTAGCTATGAACAACATACCGGGCCATGCAGAAGATGTTCAATATTTATCTTAACACAAAACTACACATGTAGAATGTCACTGTATGTGCCTCACTCGTCCAATGAGGCAAAAATGGAGATATTTCTGATTCAAAACATGTAGGGTCAAGACTATTTTTAATTATATATAGATATGAAAGAAAATAAGGCACAAGCAAAATTTTGAGTTTGACTGATGAGAAGTAAGTTAAAGTGAGACAAGAGAGTAATTTTTTTAAATAATAGTTCTGACTTTGGAGAATAGTCACACTTCTCCACATAGTGAATCTATTCTAACCATTGGTGCAAAAAGTAAATTGAATCAATTAAAGGTCGTGGTGTGTAACTCCTAGAGTCCTAGTCTCCTTGTATCAATTAATTTTAGTTTTGTTTTTCATTTGTAAATCGAAGAGTTTTCATATTGATCTTTACCCTCCAACTATGCTAGGTGGTTTATTATTAAAACGTTTTTATTAGACAAGGGTCTTAAAGTATATATATCATGGGTCAAGTAGAAGAGTAATCTTACGATGTACAAGAATGTGCTAACTGTCGAGAGATTAAGTTTATGAGTCATACCATCACACCTTGGGAGCAAGTGATTGATCGATATGATGAGATCATGTTTTAAAGCAATGTTGGAATTATGGTGACAACTCTATAGAGTAGGGGTTTTAGACCGAATCAAAACAAGACTGAGTTCATAGAGTGTAAGTTAAGTGGTAGTATGAATAGTGGTAAGAGTGAGATTACCTCGGAGTCTAAGGAGATCCCGATTAGTGTTATGTTTCGTTACATGGACTTCATAATTTAGAAGTGTGGTGAATTAGATGGAGATGTATCAAATTATATTGAAGATAAAATGCGAGAGTATAGGTTGCGGTCGTTTGGCCATGTGTGTAGAAAACCGAGTGATGCACCCGTTATACGAATAGAGAAGTGGGAAGAAGAGGTAGGGAAGAGAGAGAGGGGACGACATGGACAAATGTGAAATAAAGTGTTCACGAATGATATAATACTATTTGGATTAAATGAGTCTATGAGAGTATGACTTTACAGAAGGTGAAATGGATGAAGAGCATACATGTGGAGGATTGATCTTATAATGTTTGTCTCCCTCTTTATCTATTTATTATTTTAACTCCAATATCATACTTCCTCTGTCCCAATCAACTTTGACCAATGATATTTTTTAATACGAAATTATTTTAAATATGGAAATTATATCAAAATGTTCTTTATTGGAAATATTTTCATAAAAGTATAAAATTCATAAATTATATACAATTATAATAATTAAAACCGTTGACTAAAGTTTGTCATCTCGACGCGATTTTCACTATGGGTCATTCGGAAACAGTCTTTCTGTGCTTTAGTACAGGGGTAATGATGAAGGTAGTATGTCTATTCGGGATAATGATGATGACTAAAGTTTGTCATCATTGACCAAGAAAAGTCAATATGAATAACCTTTTCAGGATGAAGGTAGTATGTCTATTCGTGTTTGCCGCCCCATACTCTTTTGGGTTTAAGGCTTGGATGTTGTTTTTGGGTCATGGGTGTGCAACAGGTAAAATTCAACCGGCTATTTGGCAACCTTAGTCTTTAAAGGATATTGTGAATTTGTTGTAACTAGCTAGAAAGGAACTAAAAGCCTTTTCTATTTGTATGGTCTTAGTATGCTATACAAAGTTACAAATAAATGTTACACCTTAGATCATTTTGAATTCATTTCTCTAGGAAGTATGCGGTTTTCCGCATATAGTAGTAGCGATGTCATTTACCAAAGTTCATGATGGGAGACTTTACACGTCTACCAATGATTTAAAACCCAGACGAGTAGTTGAACTGTTGAGACAATTGAGCCATGATCTGACTCGTTAGACTAAGAGTCCAACCGGTAAAGTAATTATTGAATAAAATCTATTAGATATTTATAACCTAAGAAATACTACCGTAAAATTTAGCATAAAAGATGGAATGTATTAAATAACTAAGGAACTATTCAAGTTGATTGGCATTTATTCAGGGACAAATTGATTTAGTTGATCGATTTGTATTCCTTAATTAACGATTTCCATACTTACAAATTAGTTGTTCTAATTTGTAAAATGGCTTGAGATTATGATGGAATAAAGCAAAATGGCTTACTAAACTGTTTGCGCTTCTTTGTTATGAAGCATCAGTCAGTCCATGCATTTTTGGACGGGATTTTCACTATGGGTCATCCGGAAAGAGTCTCTATGTGCTTTAGTACAGGGGTAAGACTGCGTACATCTGACCCCCCTTACCCCACCGTAGGTGGGAGCCTTTGCGGCACTGGGGTAAATGAAAATGAAATGACAAATTAGTTGTTCTCCTTAAAAGAAAGACACCATCATTTTCATCATTTTCATTTACCCCAGTGCCGCAAAGGCTCCCACCTACAGTGGGGTAAGGGGGGGTCGGATGTACGCAGTCTTACCCCTGTACTAAAGCACAGGGAGACTGTTTCCGGATGACCCATAGTGAAAATCGCGTCCAAGATTGCATGGACTGACTGCTGCTCCATAACAAAGAAGCGCAGACAGTTTAGTGAGCCATTTTGCTTTATTCCATCATAATCTCAAGCCAAAAAATAATGAATCTTTGGCTCCATTACAAATGATGGAAAATTAAAAGAAAGACACCGAGAGTTGAAAATAAAATAATTGGTCTTAGGTCGGGACAAGAACTATTCTTGCAGGAAGGTTCCTTTGGGGCTCTTGGAGAATTTCTCTGAACTCTCTCTCCCTCTCTCTCTTGTTCCTTTCTTATTAGTGAAGTTATCTTTGTGCATTTCTACTCTTAAATCCTAAATCTGATACATATATACGACATAATGTTTTAAATATGAGAAATAAGTATAAATTTGTTAGTTGTTACACGAGTTAGAAACGAATGTACATTATTGTACATTTCAATTTGATTTTAGTAGAGAAACTCACACATGAAAACATAATGTCAAATGATTCAATAACAAGTACACAATACTCTAATAACTGCCCTGCAATAACATCATTTTGTTGATATGTTTATAAAATAGTGAAAGCAACAAAATTATTGAATTTGATAAGATATAAGAGACAATTGTAACATGACTAAACTGAAAACTTCTAAGAGGAAAAGAATTTATCCCTTGGATTCCCATTTTGTCACATGCCTAGACTGCTGCAGGTCTCAGAAACCCATCCCAGGTTCTGGACCATATCCTGGTCTACAAAACTTGTTGGGTCCAAACGGACGACCAACAAACGAAATGCTTCGTCAAGGCAAAGAGACCTCTTTCACTTCTGGCCTTCCGGGTGGCGGGTCAAGTGGTCAATTGACCTGACTGTCCAGGTTGTCAGGTCTTAGAACATTGATGTAAACTTTATGTAGAGAAGCGTTCTGATAACATGCCCTGGCAGGGATATTGGCTTTTCCTACTGGGTTGGCACTTGATGTTCAGATGCAAGATGTAGCTGGAGAACGTGGAGGCTATCTCCATGGACGGGGCGGTATTGTTTCTCATTCCTCACTCCTTGTATTTTATTTCCACATTATCCAAATCCAATTACACCACCTTTTCTAGAAGACACATGGGCAAAGCATCTTTAGTTTATCTATAATGTTCATTAGCTTCTTTGAGTGTGTCCAAGTTCGAATGTGCAGCCCTGGACAGTGATGACTTGCTTTATCTCAAGGAGCAGATGGAAGCCGAGGAGGATGCAGAACGCCTCTTGAGGCGCACTGAAAAACGTGCTTTTGCAGCATTCAAAATATCCTTTTTTTCCTCTGTCCGCTGGTTTAATATTTTTGTAGAGAATGAAATGAATCTCTATCGCCGCGTGAAATGATGAAGGGAAAACCTTACATCTACAGTGCATATCTGTTGCTTTGGTCTTGTCTTACCTATTGTGTTAGAGTTCATCTGGTTCTATCATCTCCTACTCAACCCCTCCCCTTCCAGGTCATCTTGTAGACTAGTGAACTATAGACAAATCTTCACTCCCACAACAACAATAACAACAAGTCTTAGTCCCAAAAAAGTTTGGGATCAGCTAACCTGAATCGACATATGAAATTGGAGCTAAAGATAACAAAGATAAAAAAATAAAAGATAAGATAAAAAGAAACATATAGCTAAAAAAGATAAAGAAGAAAAAAAGATAAGATAAAAGATTAAATAAAGATAATGATAAAAAAGACAAAAAGATAAAGAACATAAGAAACATAAAAAAGATGGAAAAGATGAAATGAGATCAACCTTTCACCCGAATATGTTGCCTTCACTTCGCTCTTTCCAAAATCATACTCTGAATCTTCACCTCACGCATGAAAATTCAGCCACTCCAAGTTTTTTCATGTGGAGTTGCTTTTTTCTTTTAATCAGATAAGGTGGTCTTATAGATGATTTCATCTTACTATGCCATAGAAAAATGTAAACTTTTACCCCATTGTCCCATGCAACTGAGATTTGAGATGGCATATCTATCTATAAATAGAATACGGTGGAGGAAAATTTGATTGTAAAATTTGTAAAGTAAATGGAGTCATGGCGACCAATTTAATTTCATCTAGTTTTATGCCATCTTAGTGAGATCTATCATCGATGTAGTCTCAAACGTGGATGGATGTAACTAAAATTACGTTCATCAATTGTGCTTGCGAGTAACCTTGTCATTTCACAACATACAAAAAGCAAAGACTCGGTGGAATCAGATTTTTTTGGGTGGGTGGGTGTGGGGGGGGGGGAGGGTTGTATTTTGCAACTTGCATTTTTGATGATATCCTTGATTACCATACACAAAGCTGTAGCGGATTCTTCACCAGCTACTTTACCCCTTCCACTTCGGGTTGAGCCAAAGGCAAAAAGTGGGATCAGGTATTGGTGCCTCTTTTCATTTGCAAACTCTTGTAGTTCAGAGATTTTATTATGAGTTTTCCCCATGGTGTAGTCCAATGATATGATGTGCATTAATGCAAAGCAAAATTTGATGACCTATATAGGCAACAAGATTTACTGAAAAGGGTGATTGAAGTCAAACCTAAACGGCATCGAGTCTCTTCAACAACATATGCTTCTCCTAACAGGCTTGATACAGAATCCAATAAAAAGCCATCAGCTACACTGAATAACGATGAAGAAACAAGCAAAGGGAAGGCGGAAAACCCAGTTACCACCTTGTTAGCTGCATATGAGAGTTCAGATGAAGAAGACTGATTAGTCTGGTGTATGATGAGTCATGTTTAATCAGTGTAGAAGCATCGCGCATTAAAATTATTTAAACACTTTGGCTGACTTGTTTTTAACAGAGTTGGCATAGTAATTCAGTCTTATGTTATCAGTTTTCCCTTAGTCCGCCCTAAATTTGTGTATTTACATTGAAGGGAAGATAATGCGCTGACGACTTCAACACAGAGACCCTGTTATTTGTCAATTAAATGATAATGTATATTGACAATTTAAGTTGTTAGCTTGTGAATGGGAGAAGTCCATAGTTTATTACTTCAATATGTTCGGATTTAGAAATACAAAAACCTTCTCTTTAACATCTTTTTATACTAAAAAAACAATAATCATATACTCCCTCCATCCCTAATGAAACTTCCATAGTAAAAGTGGCACCGGGATCAAGATATTGAGTATTGTGTGGTGGAATGTTGTAAAAGAAAATGAATCACAAATTCTTTGTTAAAAAGAGAAAGTGGAAGTAGGGATGGACCGGTTCCGGTTCGGGCCCGGTTCAGGCCTGGGCTTGGCCGGGCCTCGGTTCATGAAGGGGAGGCTCGGAACCGGCCCGGGTAACCCTCGGGTCCGGGCCGGGCCGGGCCGGGCCGGGCCTCGGTTCTATATTTTTTTTTTTTTTTGGCTTTTCCTAGTTAACCCCCAACCCTCCTCCTCACCCCCAAACCAACCCTAACCACCTCAAATGGCCCAAAATACCCAACCCAACCCAAAAACTTAAAAAAAATTCAAAAAAAAATAAAAAAAATAAAATTGGCCCGGCCCGGGGCAGAACCGGTCGGGCCGGTTCACCTTTTGAAGGGCCCGAGCCTGAACCACCATCCCACCGGGCCGGGTGGCCCGAACCGGCCAACCAACCGGTTCACCGGGCCGGTCCGGGCCCGCACAGTAGCGGGCCGGTCCGGTTCCGGGCCGGTTGGCCCGGCCCGAGTCCAACCCTAAGTGAAAGTTTATTTTTGAGATGCTGAAAAAAGAAAGTTGGAAGTTTATTTAGTGATAGAGGAAGTATTACGTACCAAGTATATGGTTACTGCACCATTAATGGTAAAAGCAGTTGTAGCCCAAAATTCTAATCTCATATCTTATGTATTACTCTGTATCAAAACTTTTAATATACAAAAATACATATCGTTATCTTATCGAAATTTCACTATATCGTATTTCGGTGTATAGAAATTGCAATATGACAAAGATATGAGTATATCTTTTCCCAAGATTTTGAATTATCAAAATTTAAATATGGTATAAGTAAAATAATATGCATTACTGGAATCCAGTGCAACAAATTTTCATACTCCGTATGCAAAATGAAACATACAAAGGAAAAATGAAAAAAAAAACAATCTCAACTAATTAATGAGCTATTTTTTTTATCGTCAACTAGTCTTCTTTCATATCATAAGTTTCATGATCATTACATCAATCAAAGGAAAAACAAAACTAACACCAACTAAAATCCAACAACTACGACTGTAAACCCTATTATCAGACTTAGAGACGGTCACCTCTGAAAGAGCAACGCGAATCGCTAACCATGTAGCGGGCTTGACACAATCATTCTTGTTCCCATAGATCCAAACATACTCAATGACATAAAAAAAGGCTGAATTACCAAACAAACTGACAAACTTAACAACATAGACGATATCAAGAAGCCAAATGACAGAATAAAAATAATTAATAGGAAAAATCCCACGAACTCTAGCCCCTCGTACAACCCATGACGGTGGTTCAGGAGGAGGTCGTATCCTTGGTACCACTCTAATCGATCCTGCATTGTAAATTGCCATCTGGCCTGCTCGAAATCCATGCACCTCTCGTCGTCCCACGCTCGTAGCAAATCCACCGCTAGGGTCATCTTCATCGCTGCCATGCCCTTGCTACCCTGCTCACGAAGAAATCGATCGTTGAATTCTGGCTTTGATGTTGTCAAACTTGGGTAAGGATTCTTGTCAATCTGCCTCAAATCCAATCTCAGTGCCGAACACAAGTGAAGGCGATTCACCGGCTGGAAAAACCAAACCTTAGATCTACTAAAGAAAAACCAAACCCTAGACATAGCAATCTTAAGCAAGGATGTGAATTTTAACTCTTAAAATCCGTGCTACCGTTCTCTTCTTTCTCTCTCTCTAGATTTTAAGATGTGAATTTTAACTCTTATTAACGATCTGCTTTAAATAATTCAAATTATCAATTATCTCATAATAATTTCAATTATTAGATACAATTCTCAAAATGCTCTAGTGATTTATGATAACCCATTAATTACTTATAACATTTCAGGGTTTAAATACTAACTAGATCATTTTGAGAAATTTATTCAATAATTGGGATTATTTTAAGATAATTGATAATTTAAATATTTAGAGTAGTTCACTAATAGTGGAGATTATTCTTGTCCATTTTTTCACATACAAAGTGGCCTTGTTAGTGATATACTAAAATCATTAAATATAAACATTAACAAAATACTACATTGTTATAATAACCTATAGATATCCTATTCATGCACTAACTTGGATTATTATCAAGGCCAGCCCAGGCCAGGGGCACCAAACCCACTTTCGCAGGGCCCATGATTTTCAAAGGCCCAAATGATAGAGCAGAGAAAGAACACCAGAGAATCGCTGAAGCGGGAACTTCAAACGACAAGCTAAGCAACAAAGGTGAGTGACTCCATGATGCCTCTTTGGCCTCCTCATCGCCTGTCCGCCCAAGGGCGGATTGGGCCTAAGCTCAGGGAGGGCCAGGCCCACCCACAAAAATATTTTAACTGTCATATTATTTTTCATTTTTTGATGTCCCTTATTATTGGTGCATATCATATTTGGACATAGTGTAAAAAATTATGTGTACAAATTTATCTAAAAAATTGTTTGTACCAACCTCTCCAATCACTCTTCAACTAAGTTACTACCTCCGTCGTGAACTTTGTCAAGTGCAAAGTAGGTGAGAAATAAGAAAAGTCAAAACTGTGTGGTTGAGATTTGTGCAGAAAAGAAAGAAATGTGCAGAACCACTTTAATTAGAAAGTGACAAATTTTTTTGGGACAACAAAAAAGGGAAAATTGGCAAAGTACGATGGGAGGGAGTAATACTTTACATTCTTAAATCCACCCATGAAAAGAAAATAACTGATAAAGCTGAGGACTGCAATCAGGGGCGGACCCAGGAAAGTCATTTTGGGAGGGCGAAAATATTTTTGGGGGGGTTCAAAATACTTTTTGGAAGAGCAAAAATCATTTTTCGTATATATATACACTAAAAGAAATTTTGTTGGGGGGCGGTAGCCCCCCTGAGTCTCTACTACGGTCCGCCCATGACTGCAATGACATCATAGATCCCCAAATGCAGGGTATAGTATCTGGATCAGTTGCAGAGTATTGTGTTGCAAGTTTTAGAATATAGTAGAGGTTAATGTATTTTCATTGTTAAATTAAAATAAATGGGTGAAGTAATAGTGCCCTCTCATACTATATATCATACGGAGCACTAATTAATATAAATATATTCGAATGGTTATTGCTGGAAATATTGCCTTAGCACAAACATCAACTCTTATACCATATTGTTAAGCCAGACTGCTGAGTAGCCGTTGTTTTATTTTTATTTTAAATACGAGGTGAAATTTATAAGAATAATCCATACTTTTAGAGATTCTATAATAGTAATCTCTACTCAGAGTGTCTATAAAAATAATTCGAAATTGCACTAGTGTTCATAAGAATAGAGTAAGATGAATTCAAATTAATGTCTCTTTAATACTCTCAACCCTTACTCCCACTTTTCTCTTCTTCACACTTCTTCTCGGGGCAAATCCACTAAAATGACCCATTTAATCTCTACATTATTTAAGCGATGTGTGGCTCTCTCTAGGTTGTGACATAAAAGTGTTCATCGAGATGAAGAATAGTGAAGGAAGAGTGGAGCTTGGATTCACTCCAATTTATTCTTGTGGACACTATTGCTAGTACGAACTATTTTTATGAATACTCTCGGTAGAGATTATTATTGTAGAATCTATAAAAGTATGAATTATCCTTGTGAATTTTGCTCTAATATAAAGGTATTTAATTTTTTGGTCCCTTAACTTTTTAGTATTTTTGCCCCCCCGGGGCTTAAGACTCATCAGGCTAAAAAAAGGCACGGTTGGTTCGGTCTAGATCGTGTCATCATTCATCGGTTGTATTTCGCTGATTCGTCATAATCATCATATATAGTTATTTTAAAACTCGGAATTATATCGTAAAATATTAACAGATGACTTAATTAACTTTATATTGTACGGAATAGCAATTAGTTCATACTCTGTATTCGTTTATTGGAGTATATTTTACACTTACACTAATTTGGGGTATACTTATAATAAAACTTATAAAGTGCTTAGCTTAAGTGTTGGAAGTCAATAAGTCATATTACTTTTGCTGAAAAGTGAGTCTCCGCATATAGGTGTGATTAATTAGTCAAAGCACAATTAAGTTTTTTGTCAAATATGATACATACGTTGATGCTGATGATGTTTAAGTAGCAAATCTAATATCAGCTGATGTTTAATTAAGTAAAGTAATTGATGGATGGATGGATGTCATATATAGATATACATTGATGATGCATGTACGTATATATATGCATACCTACATCACAACAAGTAGTAGTAGTAAGGTAAAGAAAGGAAAGCTAAAAATAGGAAAGGTGTTGTCTTCAAGTATACGTTTTCCAGCTCAGAAATGAGGCAGCTGGCCGGCTTCCTAGCTAGTAGAGATCAGATATATTGCCCAACCTAATATATAAATTAAAGAATGACAAAAATACCGGTGGGTGTAGCTCAACTGGTAGCAAGGGAGTGACACACGGATTAGGTCCCGGATTCGAATCCCGACAACTGCGATAAAAGGTTACTATGTTAAAAATGTATATTTGTTCTGCAAGTACCGAGGATAGAGCCCTACCGTAAGGAGGAAGGCTAGGTAGTAATTAATCAAACAAGCTAGTGTACATACAATTTCACTCTCCCCCTAAGAAAGCTAAGCTAAGCTCCCTCCACATTATCTAGCTAGCGGTGCATCGTCCTCGTCACCCCCACCATTTCATACTTATCTTTCTATGGCATATCATATAGACGCGTACGTATAATATATGTATATATATAGGAGATATGCGTAGTCTGGTCTGACTAGAATTGAAGTACGTGGCTGGATCCATCAATATATATAATATTAAAGTTGGCAGCAGATCGGATCGGAGTTAGAATTGAAATAGTATATGAAGCCTATGATGATGAGGAGTTTCGATGGTTCAATTCATGCAGTTTTGGGAGTGTGGTTCATACTGCTAATTTGCAGTTGCCTGCTGCACCTTACTGCAACAACATCTGCTCATCGCGGTCCGAGAATCAACGACGACGGATCATCGTCATCCTCATCGGGTTTACCACGGCCGGTGATGGTAACGGAAAGGGGCCTTCTCGCAAATGAGCTCGCTCTCAGACCCCAGATGGGGTACGTGCCCCCTTACACTTACGTACTATGCTGAGTTCTTGTTCTTTAGTAGTTCGGACACTTTGACTTTCATGTTTGACAACGCAAAGATTTACTGAAATTATATTTAATTACACGCTAGTAACCTGTAACTATTGTCAAAAAAGTAATAATTTGTAAATTCAAATTAATAGAAATTTTATACATTTCTACTTTTATATATATATATATATATATATATATATATATATATATATATATACTCCTGAAATTATTTTCATATGGTATTTAACCTTTTAGAGTCCTTAGCACTACAAATGGTCTCCTCTCAAAAAGCACTACAAATGGTCTTATATGGATTGCAAATTTAATTTGCAGGAGATTCTAATTTCTAACCTTGAACATATATACTTCTATTTCGATTTAATTTTTGTGCTTGACAGATGGAGCACCTGGAATCATTTCCATTGCAATATAGATGAAAACCTTCTTCGAGAAACCGGTAAGCTAGAGCTTAGCTATCATGTGCTTCCTCTCTTTTAAAATAAGACAGAAATTCGAACTCATCGTCACAATTACGCCCTGCGTCCTCCGATTAACTTACCACTTTCTTTTTGGACAGACCCTAAATTAAGTTCATACTTCTTTACTTTCCTTATTTGGCAAATTATGTACATCAAAACAGTGTCAAACAGTGCAAAACAGTGCCAAACAGTGTCAAACAGTGTTTGAACAGTGCAAAACAGTGCACTCCACCGTAAAGTCAAATTTATTTTCTTAACGCGTGTGAAGTCAAACCTGGAACTTAATTGGGGGACGAAGGGAGTATTATTTTATGTTATACTCCTACTTGGTACGTACTATCCTCCGTTCCGTTTTAATCGCAAGTTCGCAACATGTTGAATTTTACACTATTCACATGTTTTACTACATTTTACGCTATTGTTTTATGAATTTTTGTTTTGAAAAAAATATTGTTCAATTCATCTCATTACAAATTTTCAAAATCTGATTTTTCATTTTTTTTTTCCTAATGAAATTAAGATATAATTACGGTCAAAGACGTGCGTTGGAAAATGTGAATTGTTGACCGTTGTATTTAAAAAAGAACGGAGGGAGTATATCTTACTATCCATGAACATATATCACGATATGTGAAAATAAAATAAAAAGCTCTAATGTTAATGATAGATAATTCAAGCTTTATAACGTTAAGACTTTTATTCTTGTTTTTACATATTGGAAGCTGATGCAATGGTCTCAACTGGGCTTGCTTCCTTGGGATATCAATATATCAATATCGGTATGATTGATTATACGATGTATAATTATAAATTAAAATAGCAATAATTTAGTCTGTGGAATTAGTAAAATTCATCCTTAGTTTCAAAATAAAACATTAATGTTGTGTTTTTGTGAACTTTGTTCATGGATCAGATGATTGTTGGGCCGAGCAAAATAGAGACGACCAGGTATGACGACAAATTAATTAATTCTGAAATATAATTTTGGGGAAAAGGTCAAATAGACCCCCTACTATTACGAAAATGTCTAAGTCCACGTCCAAGACCTGAGTGCGTATAACGTGCAACCGGTATACAGTGAGCACCGTATACCGGGACGGCTTTATATATTTTTTTCCTTTTGTTTTTAAAAAATGGTTATAACTTTTTTATTTTTGATCCGATTTTTATAAAATTTATATCAACATTTTTTATTTTTCATGATCTTTCAAATGAGACCAATATTGCCTATGTAATTTTAACATATTAACATTTGTGTGTAAAATATGTAACTTTAAGTGTTAAAATATGTAACTCACGTTCAGTCAAGTCAAATGCAACTCGTGTGTATAAATTTGTATCTCTACGTGTAACAATATGTAACTTTACGTAAAAAAATATGTAACTCGCATTCAGACAGGTCACATGCAACTCGTGTGTAAATATGTAACTCGCGTGTATAAATATGTAACTTTACGTGTAAAAATATGTAACTTTACGTGTAAATATATGTAAGTCGCGTTCAGACATGTCAAATGCAACTCGTGTGTATATATATATGTAACTCGCTTATAAAAAGATGTAACTTGCTTATTAAAAGATGTAACTCGCTTATAAAAAGATGTAACTTGCTTATAAAAAGATGTAACTCGCTCATAAAAAGATGTAACTCAATGTATTATCAAATGTAACTGAGGCCACTGATCCACTCCCAAACAGATTCGATCTTCTATTTCACAAACCTATCATCTCCCAAACAGATTCGATTTTTCTTATAATCCAATACTCATTAATATAATAGTTCGATAATTTCTTAAAATTACATACACAATATTGGTCTCATTTGAAAGATCATGAAAAATAAAAAATGTTGATATAAATTTTATAAAAATCGGATCAAAAATAAAAAAGTTATTATCATTTTTAACATCAAAAGCAAAAAAAAAGGAGATAGCTGCGTCGTTTTTGCAACCGGGCGCACCATCCTCATGGTGCGCCGGTTGCACCATATAATTTGCGCCAAGACCTCAAAAAAACATCCAATTAAACACTCAAACAATGAAAAAACATTCAAATTAGCTTTTTATCAGGAACGGTTATGAGGTTCGTTATTATTATGTCCTACTCTTTCCGTCCTAAATTGATTAATGTCATACCGAGTAATAGAATTAAAGAATCTGAAACCATTTTCCCTTAATGAGACGAATTTGAAAATATAATGCAGGGAAACTTGGTTCCAAAAGCCACTTCATTTCCTTCTGGAATCACATCGTTAGCAGATTATGTTCACCAAAGAGGGTTGAAGCTTGGGATTTACTCTGATGCTGGGTATGTAACATTATTATATTGTCTTTGCCCGCCTATTGTTCCAATTATACATCATTACTTTTAATTTGATCGAATTTTGTTCAGCACCTTTTGGTTCGATAACATCTCATTTCAATGATGTTAGCATTTAACAAGAGTAAATACTACTCCGTATAATAGAAGTGTGAACATATCCAGAAAAATTGATCGAGTTTTGACGTTTATTTGCCGCATCGGCACTCCTAAGTACTAACTAATCATGGACCAAAATGTTTTGAATACATGTTGGAGGCATAGCTAGCCCCATTCAAATGGCCATGTACAAAACTACAAATTCCCACATTATATTTAAAAGCGCTATTTTTAGCTTGCGAAAAGTTGAAAAGACTTTTTAAACACTTACAAACGATCCCTATAACAATGACATCTTTAGTCCTCCATTTATTGTATCAAAATCATAGTGGAAGGACTAAAAGTGTCAATATTATAATACTCTGAGGACTAAATGTGGGAAACATTGAAGTCATGGACTAAAAATGTCTCCAGCACAAAGTCGAGGACTAGAATTGGAAAAAATAAAAGTCGAGTACCAAAAGTGTCAATGACACAATAGTCAGGGACTAAAAATGGAAAAAACTCAAAAACTCATGTGCAAAAGTGTACCGAATGATTTAGTGAACGGTCCATGGGCCGATCGTTCATTTGATCGTGGTGACCAACGGTGGATTGTCCCTAAGGATGATAAGTTCGTGTTCTGTCCACATAATACTACATCCGTTCTTTAATAAATGCAACATGTTGATTTTTGCGCTATTCACATTGACGGATAGTATATCCGGGGATACCGGATGCCCAATTTAAATATGTTAAGTCCTTAACGGTCTGCCAAACAATCCATGAAATACGTTCAGTCATTGCTACATATGTACGCGAGCCTTTTATTGAAATGTACGGAGTATTGAGAAATATTTTAATATTAAATATAATATTATTGATATAATAATACTAATAATACCAATAATAATATTAAATTACAAGTAGTACAATATTAGTTTAAATTTACAAGCTAAGTTTACAATACATCACTTGCGACAAATACTCTATATAGCATTACAATACTAAAAGAATAAATTCCACTTTTGGTCCTATGAGTTTTGTGTCAATTCCACATTTAGTCCACGTCTTTCACTTTGTCCACTTTTAGTACCGGACTAATGTGTTTTAACCATTTGTGGTCCTTTTCCGACGATTTTAACCATCGGAAACAATGTCGGAAGGACCATATATGGGCGAAAATACAATAGTCATGTATCAAGAGTGGACAAAGTGAAAGATGTGGACTAAATGTGAAATTGATCTAAAACCCGTACGACCAAAAGTGGAATTTATTCATACCAAAATAGTACTAATATGAAAAGTAGTACAATGCGAGAACAAATTATGAAAAAAAGAATGTAATATGAGAAAATAATTAGGACTAAACAAATTTTAATATTTAAAAGAATGTATTTATGTTTTTATTTCCTAAGTATGAGTAATCACTGTCATGTTTTGTCAGTACTAAACTTTAAACATGGCAATTTGTTTTTTAAGGAATAAAAACATGACAATCTAAATTAAAGTTTGGAATTTTCAAACATTTTTACTCCTATTTCAGTAATTTTCTCAAACAATTACTATATAAAACTTGTGGAAATGAAAATATAAATTTTCTTAATGTAATCTAAAAATAAAATGAAGAAAAGCTAATACTATCGTATAAGAATATACAGAGTATAATATAGATGAAACTTCATGTTAGGCCGGCCTGATCGGGGCAGCCATCCGGCTGAGCACATTTTGGGGCCTTTCCGTTTGAGTTTTTCAATGAAATTCTTTAAGCATGTTCTTCATAAAGTCTAGTTTATTCATACAAAATTTCAGCTAAAATTTCAATCGGGAAGGCGATCAAAAATAAATTATTTAAGAACTCTGCATAGTTAATATGTATAAGCAGCGAAGTATGTTTCAGAAAATCATTTGACTATCTTCCCGATTGAATTTTTAGCTGAAATTTGGTATGGATAAACTAGACTTGATGAACAACATTCTCAAAATACTTTATCAAAAAATTTCACCGAGAAGGCCGCGAAATGGGCTCGTCCGGACGGCGGTTCCTATCAGGACGGTCTGACATGAAGACTACTCATAATATATATATATATATATATATATATATATATATATATATATATATATATATATATATAATAAGGATCAAATGAGAAGCGTGCTTATCGTAAGAAGTGAGAATGCATCTGGTGCGTTCATTTTAAGATCTGTGCATCAGATTAGCAAAAAAGTGCACGGGAAAGTGCAAAAAATATTTTAAAAGTGATGCTAGACGCGGTGGCATATCCGTAATTAATCGGAACTTTTCTGCCATCGCAAAAAGTGCATCAGATTAGCGAAAGAGTGCATCAGAAAGAGGCAAATGTGAAGCTTCTCACTTCTCACGTTAAGATGTCTTCTTATTAGAACCAACCATATATATATATATATATATATATATATATATATATATATAGGTTTTGGTTCAAATAAGAACATCATCTTATGAGAAAAACGAGAATGAATCTGGACCGTTAGATTTGATTTATGTGAAATTCAATGTGCATTAGATGAAGCTGTAATGTGTATTAGGTGAAATTGAAATGTGCAACACAAATGGTACAATGTAGTGACATTATGTGAAGCTAAATTGTGCATTACGTGAATTTGAAATGTGCACTAGATGAAACTAAAATGTGCAGAATAAAAGGTACGATGTGATGTTATTTTTGTACCTTTTATTCTGCATATTTCAGTTTCACCTAATGCACATGTGAGTTTAAATTTTAATTCTGCACATTTCAATATCATCTAATGCACATTTCGGTTTCACCAAATGCACAATTCAGTTTCACATAATTCAATCCAACGGTCCAGAAATGAGAACACTCCAAAACAATGCACTTTATCCTTCACAAAACTGCACATTTATAGTTAAAGTAATGCAAAATTCTAATGTGCACATTTACGTTTAAAATTTTGCACAGACGAAATGCACATTTTCCAATTTTTTATATGCACGTTTATGTTTTACATGATGCACAATGCTCAAATCCAACGCTCCAGAATCATTCTCATTTCTCTCCTAAGATGATATTCTCATTTGATCCTTACCATATATATATATATATATATATATATATATATATATATATATATATATATATAATATATAAAGGAAAGTTCCGGAAATATAAGAATTCTCAAAGAGAACTGCTATATTTTTCTCTCCAAAATAGAGATAACATGACTTTATTTACTATCATCTTAGTTTGTGGTCATTACTAGGCACTAAACATAGTACAAAGTAGTATTTAGACTATTTACTGTCATTAATGGTAGTACTTTTAAATCGTGTCAGTATTTTTTCGATCATACAACATATAACGACTCCTATTTCGGGAATAAAAACTATAGTAGTATTATTTTGAAATTCCAAATCATGTTTACTTCTATTTAGGCAATTTCCCTATATACAAATAAAGAAGAGAGTAAATAAGTAATATAATGTAATTGTAATGTAAGAAATGTAGGATAAGAAACTCAAAAATAATTGTGAAAATATATTGAATTAAAATACAAAAAAAGTTACGGGGTTGACACGGATTGTGCATGAGGTAAGGGTCAGTTTGGTCCTCGAATTGCATAAAAGGGGTCAAATAAGTCCTTATAACGTCCTTACTGCCCGGGAGTCATCATTTGGGGTGGTTCCTAGTGGATTTTTTTGATAAAATTTTTTGAGCATCTTATTCATTAAGTCTAGTTTACTCATACCAAATTTCAGCCAAAACTTAAATCGGGAATGCATTCAAATGAAGTCTTGAAGATAACTGCGCTTTTAACTGCGCAGCTATCTTCAAGACTTCATTTGAATGTCTTCCCAATTTAAGTTTTATCTGAAATTTGGTATGAGTAAACTAGACTTAATGAATAAGATTGTCAAAAAAATCATCAAAAAATTGCATCGAGAACTTCCCCAAATGGCGACGGCCGAACAGTAAAAACGTTATAAGGACTTATTTAACCCCTTTTATGCAACTTCAAAGACCAAACTGACTCTTACCTCGATTGTGCATGAATTCACCGATGATTTTGTGCCAAATAACTCGAGCCAAAGTACTTTTGGCACATATTTGACATATCTTTGTCAAATCCTTTATGAATTTTGATGAATCTCTGCCAGAAACTGGAGAAGATTAGAGAATTTAGTGAGAAAATGATGAGAGTTTCATGTTAACCAATTTGATTTGGTGAGTCATCCTACTTCAAATTCGGTCAACATTTTTCTATGTAACATATTAACCATAAAATTTATATGTCTAAATGAATTATTTTTTTATCCATTTCTTAAAATATCGTGAAACAATATTTTGAGTGTTATACAATTTGAATAAAATTTACAATTTAAAATTCTAAAAAACAAATAATGAATATGCCACACTTGAGATAAGTTATTGGATTATTAAGCTTGTGTTTATTTATACATTTGTAGCACACAGACATGCAGTAATACTATGCCTGGATCATTGGGATATGAAGAACAAGATGCCAGAACGTTTGCCTCATGGGTACGTACGTGAAGCGTGAATTTCAACCCCAAAATTTTAATGTGGTTTACTCCTTATTTCTCTTTAACCTTGCATCTCGTGATTAGAATAGTATTGAATTTACCATTATCTTTTCCAATATTCAGATGCGAATTCAAATTATTTAGACTGTGAGATGTAAAGTCTAATTTCAAAATGAACATAGGTTTAAAACTCAATTAGGTAATGAATTTAACATAATCCCTAACCCATTACAATTATTTAGAAACTGCTCATCTACCGTGTACTATACATCTCTGCTAACTTATTTTTTCTTATGTATATGCTCAAATCAGGGAATCGACTACCTTAAATATGACAATTGTAACAACAATAAAGAAGATGTTAAGGGAAGGTATGCTATGATGCCCTTCTTTAGCGATTAAAGTGTGCCCACATACTCATATGTTTCATTATCATGTTTAGTGTCCATAACCATCTAATTGCTTATTTAATAATGTGATATTTAAATTTACTTATGTCAACAAGCTTAAGTAGAATGTAGGTGATTGAACTAATCTTGTGTGTGTTTGTGTGCATGCATGTGAAATTGCTACATGGAAGACTTCTCTAAATATGAACAATATTCTTAAAGAAAAGCCAATTATTACCCGATATATCCTTTATGAATCAATATAACTAACTAACTAAATAGGATAAACACCTCATTGTTCACCCGTTCATGGTAATTAATAAGTTACTCAATTCATGTATTTAATGGACGACGGTGGTGAAGGGTTGTGGATGGCTGGCACAAGTGGTAGGCGATATTTAACACCTATATCTAGTGAGGTTAGATAGTTTGTAACACTCTAACCTTGTGGTTCAAAGGTTGTTACTCAATGACGATGGGAGACAGATGGCGTGAGGGAAATGGTCAATGGGAAATGGATGGTGGAAGATAGTACTAGCGATAATATTAAGGGCATAGAGCTTGACATGTACACAACTCATCAAAGCTTCGTGTGATAGGAAAAAGTGATTGAGATAGTGTTTTCCATCAACCCTTGAGGTTGTTGCGTATGAACTCGATGAGGTAATTTTTCGTGAAAAAGCATCGTTGATGTCTAAATGACATATAAGCCAACCATTTAAATAACTAGAGCGAGAACATCCCAAAGAAGGCTGGATGAACAATCAGTGTAAAGGTATCTTTGAAAGCAACTCCAAGACGTTGACGAAAATCCTATGCACCAGGGAATGCTTGTACTGAGTCATGGTCCCATCTCAATAGTACTTTACTAGATACGTCTATTTGCTCCCAACAATATTGATCTATGATAGATGAGAAAAGAAAAGAGACATTTTTTTGTTGTCGATCGAGGCTTAATTAAAACTCTTCCATCATGGTGTGTAGTCAATGTGGGATGACAATAGCTCTTTATTAATTAGTCTACATTCCATTGCCATGGTTATGAACGTGCATGTGGGTGATGTGTTTTGAAGAATGCACAAAAGGATACCATTAGTACTTAGACTTGTGTGAGGGTTGGATTATAGTTCAGGTGGAGGGAGTATTAGGTGGATGAGCATTTCAAGTGGTTCGAGAAGGAAGTAATCAGAGATTGACTATTGGGAGACTTATTTTGGTAGAGGATAAGACTTGATGAGATTGAGGGAGGGGGTGTTTGTTGGGGTGCAACTACATGTAGAAATCGATGGAGGGATTCTAATATTTTTCTTTACTATCTCTGGCAATACTTGTGCATGAGAAAAACTACATTGCATGAAGCTAATATAAGGTGTAAGTGATTTAAATTTGCTTCGGCTACAGGCATACATGATTTATATGGAAGTGTCAGTTGAATCTTAGTTAAAGCATGTAGAATTTATTAAATAATCAAGGGAAAAACCTAGTAGCGACTACTATTAATTGATCTGAGGTGATGGAGGAGGGATCCCATGCACTAGAAAAAACTAAACTGTAATTTGTGACTATTTGCTTGAAGGTGGGAAATACCTCGCACCATGGGAGAAGTGGAACAAAATATAATGTGGATGTTGGGGGGAAAGTCAAGCATTGATGTCATAGTTGGTTGATGACGTTATAGACATTGATGTGATGAACCAGGGCATGTGTACATATTATTTACGTCGGCCTTCAACTAAGGATGCCCTGTGCATGGTTAGACCAATAAATGTATGTATACATATATACCCGGGAAAAAATGATAATGCGGTCTAAAAAAGGAAATGAGAATGAATCTAGTGCGCTATATTTCAGTATTGTGTATTATATGAAATAAAAATGTGCCATGAATAAGAAAATACGGTGATATTTTATAAATAAATTCAACTCTTTATGCCAATTTGAACTGTGGACTAGTTTAATCATAAGTGTGCATTACCATGAACGAGAATGTACATAGTTTCATGTCATTTTCATTTCTCATGGGAAAAACCTTCTCACCAGACCCTATATGTATGTGCACACACATGTATTTTTGTATGTGTGTGTGGTTTGCTTCAAATAAAACTAAAAGTACTCTTAAGGTGAAAAGAGAACATACATTGACCATTAATTTAAGAAAATTGGAGGAACATATCAATTTCAAAGTGATGAACGTGATGTCACTATATATCAATGATTTTAAAAAACAATTGTGTCAATTCTTTCATATTTAAGTTTCACATCCATTTACAATTATGTCACTAGATACTTTTAATAGGATTATCTACCTCTAGAATCTTTAAATGATCAAGGGCTTGACTTTCTTCTCATTTTTTATGAAAGAATCATTTTCACTTGAACCATTCCCTACACAAATATGTGTAATTTAGTTCAAATAAAAAGTTTCCTTT